TTCCCCTCTCTCACAGTATTCATCCTTCAAACTCGGGTCCTCTGCTGCAAGACACTCATGCAGTGCAGTCAGCTTCTTCAGCCAGTAGGCATGAACCATGTCAGGACCTATTGCTGACCAACTCTTCATACTGGAGACCGTTTCTTGAATTTCTGCCACTGTGATTGTTACTGGACTCTTCAGGGATGTTGCTGTGGTCTGCTCTTAAATCCACTAGCCACCGAGCATTGCCGTTATGGATTGTATCCATCTCTCATATGCTCTTCCAGTATTGCTCCATCTCCAGCCTTGGTGGTGCTGTCCTCATATTGTTCCCCTGCCACTAAGAGTACACCTTGGATGGTTCTGTGGAGAACAGCTGGTTTATTCTCCTGCCTTCGATCTCTCTGGTGTACCTCTTCAAGCAGCTGACCAAGGCTGTGAGTCTTTGCTTGACAGTTTCTAAGGCCTCAGATATGGACGGCTTGCTGTACTTCTTAAGCACCTTCTTCACTGCCCATTTCTGCAGCTCCGATAGTTGGCTTACTTCCCTCCATGCTACCTTGATCTTAGCCTCTAGTCATCTTCTCCATGGAGGGTACTGCTCCTTGTGGCTGCTCAACTTGTAGCCAAGCATCTCACTGTTTGCTGCTGCCGTAGTGTAGATCAACTTGTTAGTCTCTGTAATGGTGGCGGTAGGTATAGTCAGTAGTGCTGTATTTACATCATCTAGTAGACCTTCAGAGGGCACCTCACATAATCTTGGTAAGCGGCTACAGTAGCGAGCTCCTCTTGCACTCAACGATCCTTCTTCCATCGCACTTGGGGCTTCGTACTCAATCCCGGGTGGGGGTGAAGATATCTCCCCCCTGACCTGTCATCTTTGATATATATTTACAGAGACAAAACTCCACAGCATGTGCTCCTATATTAGAAACATACTATAACCCTGCAGTTACCACAGATGTGCTCAGCACACTGACAACATGTGTGTAGTGCTATACTATTGAATGAAGCCTAATCACTCTTTTTCCCAAATGTGAGCAAAATAAAATATTCATATTTTGCATGATCTAATTTAAATTCAATCAAGACTAAAGCATATTTCATACAAGATAGCAAAAAAAGGCTAATGGTAAAACCTGTCACATTGATAGATGCCTCTGATTTTAAGCCTCTAGCCGTCAGTTTCTAATACTTGTTACCTACCATTTGACAATTTTATAGGCTATGCCAGACCATATATTGCCACCACTGTTCTTAATAGTGATGCATGTGAATTATTTAATGCTACAACAGTGCCACTGTTACTGTTCTAATCCCTCAAAATAGAAATAGAAATCTTTGTTGATATATCACCATATAATACCTAAAAGTTAACCAATTTTTTCTAAAAACAGCTTAGAGTCACTGAAAAAAAGACAAGATTAAAGTCACTTTTATGAATCAATAATTTCTCCATGACCCTCAGAGAAAGACAAAAACTTTAAACTGTCTCTAAAGGCTACAGACTCTGCTACAAACTGAGGTCAGTGGGCTTTTCTGGAAATTATAACTTTATTTTCCAGACAACTGATTAGTTCTGCATGTATTAATGACTTCTATAACACTGTTCCAGGTCACTTTGGGTGTACAACAAACGGGTACTCATGAGAGCTTTCAAGAGAAACAAAGCTCTCTTGCTCCCATTAAGTGTTTGCACCTTCTCGATTTACACACTACAAGCCACCTTTTCATGCACCATACTAACATGTTAACTTTTTGTAGGGCTAAATATGTATGGCTGAGGCTCATGAGAATCACTCACTTTTTTTAAGAGAGCAAAATGTGATTTCTTAAACATAAGTCATGACAGGATAATCACAGTGATTGTCCAATTCATGGCAATCCATCCAGAAGTTATTTTCTTCAGAATATTAAAAGGTATTCATTGTTTAAAAAGAATGAGGCAAAAAATGGATTATGGGTCCCATAGATAGATTAAAACAGATTTAAAAGCACACCTCATGCTGATCAGGACGTCTCCATTCCTGAAGATGAAGAGCAGTATATTGTCTTGTGTGACATCATGAAAGTTTGCATTTTTTTCATTTGCAAAGAAAAGATCTGGTTTCCATAAACACTGGAACATTTTGGGATCAATAGTTAGTGCGTCACTCTTATAATCTGTAGGAAGCTGTAGACGAGGGTCATTCCATCTTTGTCGAAGAAATATATTTACTCTGTAGTCCTGCAAAGACAAATATTGTATTAATAATTTGCACTACATCAACTCCTATTTGTTAGGGATAATATTTAAAATGAAACATATTGTGAAACTTTTCTTCTTTTTTATTCTGCTATTTTTCTTAAGTCTGGTCATACTTGTGCAATCCTATTTTTTTCCATATGTCACCAATAAACAGCTGTATCCTGAGTCAGGCTAAAACAGTAACATGTAGCAAGTGTCTGCTCAATTCTTCAGTATTAATAATACTAATGTAGTTATGTTGATTCATTTATTTTACAGAATACAGTGAATGACTATCATTAATGCAATGCGTATTTGTAAAAATATACAATCTGCATCTTTATCTTATCTGCATCTCTCCAACATTTAGTAGTTTGAGCCAAATTCCATTAATCTAATATCCATTGTTTGTAGCTGTATTACCATAGTCGTCTCCTGGATAGACCCAAAGCTGTTAATGAAGATGTTCACTCTGGACTCAACGGGGATACCTGAGATATAGACACAAGGACACAAAGCAATATAAAGTAAGATGATTCTAAAAGAAGGGTGTGCATACTGAATAAATTAGTAAACATTCTTTTACTGGTCAGCAAGTTACCCCATGTGATCCAAGTTACCCACATGTTTTTGTCTTTTGCATTGGTACCAAACAGTACACCTACACTGGAATTTTACATAAGATTCAGCCTTTTTAGAAATAAGAAGACACAGCACAGCAATAAATACCCAGCCAGCTGTCAGCTAACAGTCCCTCCTCCTTCCCTTTAGGCTTATCTATTTTCTACTACAAGCACACTCCTTTCACTCAATTGTGGTGACACTTCAAAAAAAAAAAGCCTCAGTATTATTGTGAAGTCTTTGCCTTATAATATAAAGCCCATTGAGGCCACTGTTTTGATTTGGTGCTAAATAAATAAAACTGAACTGAATTTCACATTGATATGAAAGCTTTCGTTGTAAACCTCTTCACCCATTAAAAAATGAAAATTTAAAAATAAATTAAGTCAGTTTGACAATTCAGACATTTTATACTGCTAAACTACACCAAAACGATTTCCAGTAAACAGTTCTTGATGTAGCCCTTTCAATATAATCCAATAAATGCATACAATTCATAGAAAAATAATATTCTTGTACACAAGCTTTCACATGTATCGCAAACAGATGTGGTTTGGGATCTGGTTTCTGAGAGTGGTAGAACAATTTTTTTCATTTAGCATTATGAGACTTATGAGCATGTCCTTCATTTTTTCTGTTAGGTTGCAGCTTAATATTTTCACTAATTGTCTAGATTTATTTAAACTGTTATATTGTGTATAAAGTCTTAAGTTACCTATAATTTCTCTATAGTATTTCTCTGCACTGCATGAGTGTCTGTATATATATATATATATATATATATA